ACACACACACACACACACACACACACACACACACATATTTCTTTTATATATAATAATAAAAAAAAACAAAAAATAAAAAAAAAACGGCAGGGCGAGAGCGAGCCTCTTCCGCTAAAAGCTCCGCGGGACGCGCGCGCAAATAAATACACAGATCAAAGGATTCCCCATATTTTTGGCCTATATTTTCTGGGTTTCTGTCTTCCCCTCCAACTTCCCACGTTTTCCCATATCTTCTCGGGAATCGGCGATGAATTGTGTCTGTGTGTGTGTGTGTTTTCTTCCCTCTGAGTGGCATGTGGGCGACTCTGGAAACCCTGAACCCAGAAACGTTTTCATCTCTTGGGGGGCGCATCTTTTACCTCCGCCGCCTTCCGCCGGCCTTCCGCCGGTGGAGGCGCCCTCGTTTTGCTTCCGCCGACCTTCCGCCGCGGGAGAGATGGCACCTCCTTCGATCCTCGAAGGCAAGGCCCTTTCTGGAACGCCTCATGTGGGAAGGAGGCCATCCGATCGGGACAAGGGCGCAGCGCCGCAACCAGAGGCTGAACAGTGGCAGTGCGGACTGTGGCCAGAGGGGGAGCAGCATCGCGCTGTCAGCAGGGGGTGCACGTCTGCACAGGGGGTGCGCGTCTACAGAGCGGGTGCGGCTTGTGGGCAGGAGCCAATGGCCAAGCACCCTGAAAGCCTGCGGCGCGGGCAAGGTGCTTACCCAGACATCCGGCTGCTCCAGTTCTTCGATGCGTGGGCCCCGCAGGTTTGGACCTCCTCCCTGGGGCCATTTTTTCGTCTCAAGTAGTCTTTTTGGGGCTGCCCCGAGGCCCAGCGAGGGCCACCCGAGGCCGAAAACTGTCAAAGCCCGCCGACCCAATTGGTGTCGGAGCGTCGGATCTCTAGGTGGCGGGGTGGAGGCCAACAGTTGCGGCGTGTCTAGCTCTGGCGCTGGCGGCGCGTATGCGGGCTCGGGAGACTGTTTCCTGGGATTGCCTCTGGGCATGCTTCGTACTGGGACGCGCTTCCTTGCCGTCGCTCGGACGTCCATTTCCCATGCATTTTTCGATTTCGTGCGTGTTTTTTTTGATCGATGGTCCAGGATCGTCCTCAATGGTTCTCGCCGAGAAAAAATTCACACGTGCGAGCGATGCCAGGCTTCAGGCGCAGACACTCGGTCCCCCTAGTGGGCATCATCCTGGCCACCTTCTCGAGGCGAACCCAAGCGTGGCGACGACGGGCCCGAAAGGCTCGCCAAGGGTCGGGCTCGGGGACAAGCAGGCCTCTCTCTCTACTCCCGGGGTCCTGTAGATCATGTGCTGCTTGTGGAACACGTTCTGCGAGACGATGCGCTCCATCACGCGAAGCTGCTGCAGCAGCTCGCCAGGGATGGGACTATCCGCACCCGCCTTCCACGGGATCGGGTCCATCGGCGCCGGCTCGGCAGCGGCGCCCTCCTCCGCGTCGGCGGGCACTGGTGGAGACTCGTCCTTCTCGCCCTCCGCCTGCAATGCGGGCTGACGCCCCGAGTGTCGCCAGGCCTGGACGTGGTAGAATGTCGAGTGCTGGCTGGTAAAGGTTTTTTGCTCCTCTAAGGACCTCCGAATCCTCTGCAAAAGAGGGGGTGGGTCCGCGCTCACGGGGCCACGATTACTCGTAAAAGCGATGGGTTCGCGCTCGCGAGCTTCTAAGATGGCCGAGGCATGCATCCAAAGTCACAACGATTGCCCAAGATGCCTCCAACACGAACCACGACAGCCGGGGCAACCAGGGCCGCCAACATGGCCTAGGCTTCTGGTTCAAACCCATAGCTTTTTACTCACCTTTTACGTTGCTGGCTGAATCTGAAGTGGAAGCTCGAAAGGCAGGCCCGATGACGCAACTTTGCCCGAAGACGGCTCAAAAGTGCTTCACCAACTCCTCCCCGTCACTTCTGTATCCTAAGCGTCGGGTCTCTCTGCCCTGGCCTTCCAGAGATGTTGCGTCGATCCCTGAAGTGCCGAAGAAAACCGATCAGAGCGTCATGACTTTGGCCCTGGCAGGGGCGCGATCCTCCAATTCTCCTGGAAGGACACGGGCGCGGTGCCGCCCTCACCCCTGGGCGACACGACACCACCCTCGATTACCCCTGGGGCTTCCCGCCGACCCCCCGGCAGCCTGGGGCGTCGCGGGCGCGGCCCCGCGCCCTTCCGCCACCGTGGCCAGCTGGGACGGGCCGCCGTCCAGCGAGGTGGACGTGGGCCCGCCGCCCAGCTGCTTGGTGGTGGCGGCGGAGCCCGAGATGTCCCGGGACACCATGCCCGTGACTCCCCCGGTCCTCGGTCTGCGCGGCCCGCCGCGCGGCCGGCCCCGGTCCCTGGCCGCAGCGGCCACCGCCCCGAGGCCGCGCGCCCGCCCGCGCAGGGCGGGCGTACGCCGCGCGCGGCGATCGGGCCTCGCGGAGCCGATCGCGCGGCCCGTGGGATCGCGCGGCCCGTGGGCACGCAGAAGCGACGATCGCTGCGACCGCGGTCGCCGATCTCGCGACCAGCGAGCACTGAGCTCTGGTCGCGCCCCGCTTCCTCGTGCCCTTGGCGTCGTCCTTCTTCTTGGCGGTCTCCTTCCCCGCGTCGCTGGTCGGGTAAGGCTCGGTCATGGTGAAGAGGCAGCCAGGCTTCTTGACCGCCTCCGACACGGTCAGCGCAGACTCTCGGTCGCAGGCCTGCTGGATGAGTACGTGCTTGGGCACGGTGTCCGTGGCGAAGGTGTCATATATGTCCCATCCATTGGCGTTCACCTCGACGCTCTCCTGCGTCGGGGGCGCAGCGAATACCTCCTTGCTCTTATGTGCGTGGTTGAGCGTCTGGGCGTGCTGCTCCCTGTACTGATCGCTCTCCGCCTTCGAGGCGCACAACTCCTCGTAGGCCTTGTTGCGGGCGGACACGGTGGCGGACTGGGGATTGTCCAGCGCGACGCACAGCGATGGGAAGAACAGCAGTGTGTCAGTGTCTGTCTCGCAGAGGGCAATGTCGATGTTGCGCTCCATCTCCTCCTTGGTCAGCCCCGCCGGCTTCGCCTGGCGCAGCCTTTCGTGCGGCGGCTCCCTCGCGGCAGGCGCTGGTTCCTCGCCACCTGCGCCGCCGGCGCCCGCGGCGGTTGACTCGGCGCCCGCTGCGCCCTGGCCGGAGCCGGGCTGCCCTGCCGATCCGGCGGCGTCGGGCTTCTGTGCCTGATAAAGGGACGGCACGAGGCTCTTGGGCGTCACGTCCCTGCCGTTGCACTCGACGCGGATTCGGCCGCCGCTGCTTCCGCTGTTGCCGCCGCTGGTGTTCTTTGTGCGCGAGTTCTGCGTCTGCCCAGCGGTGGTGGCCTGCCAAGTATTCTTCGGCAACTGTGATTGCTTCATGACCTGCCTGCTTACGTACGAGCTGGTAAACTTGCACACTGGAATCTGACGCAGACTCTCCAGAACTAGTGCTTGCACTAAGGGGTACTTATTTGGCTCACTAAACAATCGGCATAGGCTGCTGGGTTTTCAGCCAGTCGCCGCCCATAGGCGCCTTCTGCGCTGGCTGAGCCTGCTGGTTGGGCCAGTCGCAGCCCGCAGGAGCCTAGTGTGCTGGCTGACGGTTCTGGATGCACACGCTGATTGCACCTCATAGCTTGCAGCACATATCTTGCATCCCACAACCACTTAGCATTCTAACGCCGCAATGACTGCACCCAATGGTTTGCAAATCATGTGTTCCACCCCGTCGCTTTTTGCAACGTATGTTCACATAACTTATTTGTGCATGTATTTATGTGTATATATATGTGACTTGTGCATCTACACATACATACGTAGTTATATATACATATATATATATATATATATATAAACCTATACACAGACACATATGTATGTATGCATGCATGTATGTATGCATATATGCATGCATGCATGTGTGCATGTATAGTTGTGTGTGTATATATATATAGATCTGCGCATGCATAGTGGCCTTAGGCTCATACCGCCACCGTGCCCAGGTTGTGGGTCTGAGGTCTCTTGGATGGTCGTTGGGCTCTCGTTGACGCCTCTCGGGGGCCTCCTGGAGGCACTTGTGAGGCCTCTGGGGGGTTGTTTTGGAGCCTCTTGGAGCCTCTTTTGGGCCTCTTGGGGGCTTCTTGGGGCCTCCTGGCGCCTCTTGGGGCGGAAAGCTTGGATTTTCGGTTCGTGCTCCCCCTCTTGGGCTTCTCTTGGGGCCGTCTTGGGGCCCTCTTGGGCCGTCTTGGGGCCCTCTTTGGCCCTCTTGGGGGCTACTGGGGCTGTTTTGGGGCTTCTTGGGCTGTCTTGGAGCGTCGGAAGCTCGAAACATCGAGGGCCCCGAACACATTATATTGGCGAAGGACCCAACCATATGCAGTTGTTTGTAATGCAATTGTGAATGTCATCTTCGCTGGAACTCCCTTTGGGGTCACGAAACGTCTGAGGGGCGTGCCGAGATGGGGGGTGGAACCGCCATGCGAACGCTGCCACTAGGGCCTTTGGTGGAGCTCCCTATGGGGCCCCGAAACGTGTGAGGGGTGTGCCGACATGGATGGCGGAACCGCATGCGAACGAAGCCATTGGGGCTTTCGGTGGAGCTCCCAATGGGGCCACGAAAAGTGTGAGGGGTGTGTGGCAGGATGGGGGGCGGAACCGAACGTGAACGCAGCAGCTGGAGCCTTCGGTGGAGCTCCCTTTGGGGCCACGAAGCGTGTGAGGGGTGTCTGACATGGGTGCGGCGGCGCCATGCGGGCGCTGCCACTGAGGCCTTCGGTGGAGCTCCCTATGGGGCCACGAAGCGTGTGAAGGGTGTGCCGAAATGTAGGGTGGAACCGCATGTGAACGCACTGGGTCCTTGGGTGCAGCTCCTTAGATGGCCACGAAGCGCTTGAGGCGTGTGCCGAAATTGGCGCGGGGCTGCCATGCGGGCTCTGCCGTCTGGGCCTTCGGGGGCACGAAACGTGTGAGGCGTATGGCGACATGGGTGCGCCGGCGCCATGCGGACGATGCTATTGGGGCCTTTGGTGGAGCTCCCTGTGGGGCCCCGAAGCGTGTGAGGGGTGTGCCGACATAGGTGGGGTGCCGCCATGTGGGCGCTGCCATGTGGGCCTTCGGCGGAGCTCCCTATGGGGCCAAGAAGCGTGTGAGGGGGGTGCCGACATGTTCTACATGTGGAGAGACGAGGCAAGAATGGGAGAAGGGGGGGAGGAGGGCGAGAATGAGAGGAGGACGCGAGGCACTGTCCCTTCAAAATGAGGACCCAGCACAACCGGACGCTTGTGACTTGAAGAACAGATGAGGAATCGATTACTTTGGCCTCTCGGGGCCCTCTTGAGAGGGCTCTTGGGGCTCCCGTGGGGCGCCTCGACAGCTTCTTGGCCCGTCTGGGAGCCGTCCTGGGCGTCTCGGACCAATCGTGCGCCCGTTCGGGGCCCCCTTGGGCGAGTCGGGACCGCCTGGGCGGCCTCTCGGGGCCCTTTGGGCCCGTGTGCGGGCCCTTCGGAGTCGGACAAATCATACCAGAACACGCCCGGGGCCCCAGGGCCCACGCGAGGCGCGCCATAGGGCCACGTGGCACGCCCCAGAAGCTTTGGCAATCTTTGGGGTCTGGGCCACATGAAGACTCCTCAGGATTGAAGACGGAGGCTCCAGGGGATCGAACAAGGGACCTCAGGACGGATACATAAGGTGGGTGCTTATAACCTACATATGCGTACACATATACGTTTACATCTTCATATACATGTGCATAGACATAAAATGCACACATACAAATGCTTTCACATGTGCAAGCACACTCGCATACACATGAATGTATCCATATACGCACATACATGCATGCGCACACACACACACACACTCGTGCATTCGTACATGTATGCATGGATGCATGCATGCTTGCACACATACATACATACACACGTACGCACATACATACATACACCCATCCATGCATACATGCATACACACATACATACATGCATGCATACATACATACATCCATTCCTACATACACACATACATTCGTACACACATGCAAACATACACACATGCACATACACATACACACGTCCATACATACATGCATCCACGCGCATAGACATACATGCATACATCTAGACATACATACGTACATACATATATGCATACATACACATCAACCCATCCATCCATACACATACATGCACACGTCCATCCATACAGACAACCACAAACAAAACTGCATACGTACATGCATCTATATATACACACGCCCATGCATTCATACATACATGTATGCATGCATACATACATACACACATGCACTGATGCATACATGTACCCATACATGCATACATGCATACATGCATACATGCATGCACACATACAAACAGGCAGGCAGACAGACAGACAGACAGACATACTGTATGTGCATACATCTAGATATGTGCAGGCAATAATCTGCTACCATGCTCCCTGGCACTTTGAGGGACGGTCGAATGCAAAGGGCTACCTGGTAGGGATTACTGTGTCCTCTAAGGGCCCACCCCGAGATACTTTTACAATGATGGGCCCGCGCTCCCGAGGCCACGAGTCCTCGTAAAAGCGATGGGTTCGCTCTCCCGAGTCTCCAAGATGGCAGAGGCAGGCAACCAATGCCGCCAAGACTGCCCAATATGCCTCCAAGACGAACCAAGACAACCGAGGCGGGCCACCAGGGCCGCCAACATGGCCTTCGCACCCCCCAGCAGGCATCGAACGTGGCGACAGTTTCCCAGATCGCACCCCCCAGGGGTGGCGAGGTCCCATTTGAATCTGCGTAGGGCGTCACTATGCTGGACCCCCCCAGCAGGCCTGGAAAGTGGCGACGGTTTCACAGATCGCACCCCCCAGAGATGGCGAGGTCTAGTGGGAATCAGCGTAGGACGTCGCTATGCTGGACCCCCCAGCAGGCCTCGAAAGTGGCGACAAATGTCCGATTTTAATCTGCGTAGATCGTCACTATGCTGGACCCCCCGGCAGGCCCCGAAAGTGGCGACAGATTTTGCAAATCGCAGCCCCCCAGGGATGGCGAGGTCTGATTTGCATATGGCTGGACGTCGCTGTGCTGGACCCCCCAGCAGGCCTCGAACGTGGCGATCGTTTCGCAGATAGCAGGCCCTCAGGAATGGCGAGGTCTAGTTTGAATCTGCGTAGGGCGTCACTGTGCTGGACCCCCCAGCAGGCCTCGCACGTGGCGACAGTTTCACACATCGCAGCCCCCCAGGGATGGCGAGGTTAAATTTGAATCTGCGTAGGGCGTCACTGTGCTGGACCCCCAGCAGGCCTCGAAAGTGGCGACAGTTTCACAGATCGTCGCCCCCCCAGCGATGGCGAGGTCCCATTTGAATCTGCGTAGGACGTCACTGTGCTGGACCCCCCAGCAACCCTCGAAAGCGACGACAGTTTTGCAAATCCCCCCCCCCCCCCCAGGGGTGGCGAGGTCTAGTATGAATCTGCGTAGGGCGTCACTATGCTGGACCCCCCAGCAGGCCTCGAAAATGGCGACAATTTCACAGATCGCAGCCACCCCCAGGGATCTGTGCTGGACCCCCCAGCAACCCTCGAAAATGGCGACATATTCACAGATCGCAGCCCCCCCAGGGATGGCGAGGTCTAGTTTGAATCTGCGTAGGACGTCACTGTGCTGGACCCCCCAGCAGCCCTCGAATGTGGCGACAATTTCTCAGATCGCAGCCCCCGAGGGATGGCGAGGTCCCGTTTAAGACTGCGTAAGACGTCACTGTGCTGGACCCCTCAGCAGCCCTCGAATGTGGCGACAGTTTCACATATCGCACCCCCCAAGGATGGCGAGGTCCCGTTTGGGACTGAAGGCCTCGAATGTGGCGACAGTTTCACACATCGCAGCCCCCCAGGGATGGCGAGGTCCCGTTTGGGTCTGCGTTGGACGTCGCTGTGCTGGACTGCCCAGCGGCCCTCGAAAGTGGTGTCAGTTTCACAATTCGCAGCCCCCCAGGGGATTGCGACGTCGTATTTGAATCTGCGTAGGACGTCATTGTGCTGGACTCCCCAGCAGCCCTCGAAAGTGGCGTCAGTTTCACAGATCGCAGCCCCCCGCAGGCAAGACAGGAGGAGGCGGGAGGGAGGCGGGAGGAGGAGGAGGACGCGATCACAGTCCTCTATTCAAGACGAATGCCCACCCAAGGAGGGTTGGGAATAACGCAATCATAGTCCGAGTGGGTGAAGCAATAGTGTCTCAGCCAGAAACCTTCTAAGAGCTTTTCGTGCAAGCCACAAAGGTTCTCAGACCATTCCTTGGTGGGCCTTCAGTCGCGTCAGGACGCTTCGCCACTGCTTGAAAAAAGGGAAGATGACGACGAAGACGAGAAGGGAACCTCCGACACGACGCGGAGGAGCGTATCCCATGTTACGGCGCTCCCCAACCTGACTGGGTGCATATGGTGTCACGGGTTAAATGCTACGGTATTGTGTGCCCTCTCGAACAGTCGACTCCTATAATGCTGTGCTGGCACGGTGGGGGGACTTGCCGCAGGCAGCTAGGTATGTGTATGTATACGTATATGTATATACACATACATGTATGCTGTACACTATTTGTATATATAGATGAATGTGTGTAAACATGTTCACATACACATGTGTACATACAGGCGGCCCGGATTAGTAGGTCGACCCTGCCAGATCAAGGGTACCCTCGTGTCCTGAGTCTTGCGACCCATGCCTCCTGCATTTCTGTGGCACCGTGGCCCTCAGAAGGGTCTTGTGTCCTCTCGCGGGTCCTCTCCAGTAGAGTCCGACTGTACGCGGGCAACCATTCTTGACGCCGGCGCCTTTGTCGGGAGCGGCCAAGAGGGGGGTGTCCAAGAGGGGGGGGTGCAAATCATGACCGGCGGCATGTGCGCGGCTCAGCGGGGGGGCCAGGGGCGTAATGAAACAAGAAGAGGCGCCAGGAAATCTGGGGAAATACCTTGGCCCCCGCCATGATGTCCCCCCCCCCTAGTCATCACCCAGCTCTTTTCCGTCCCCGACCCTCCTCCTCCTCCTCCTCCTCCTCCTCCTCCTCCTCCTCCTCCTCCTCCTCCTCCTCCTCCTCCCCCTCCTCCTCCTCCTCCTCTTTTCCGCCCCCGCCTTTGGCGAGGCGAGGGAAGAAACACAACGGATTGGGGATCCACTGGGGCCGGATATCGCGAGGGCTTGGGGTGGTAGCAAGGCCCCACGTCTGGCCGACGCCGGCGCGTTCCCCCGGAAGCACCGGACGCAGCATGTCAAATTTCTTCGTAGCGTTAAGTCGGGCGTGTCCCCCTACAGGGGGATTTTTGACGAAAAATTTAAAAAATTCCCCCCCAAAAAACTCCAATGGTCAAAGAATGCGCAAAACATCGTCCCCAGATAATGTTTCGGCTGTTTTTGAAGATTCCCCCCTGCAGAGGGACAGGCCCGACTTGCTTCTTAGCGGCCGAAGTCTCGATCGGCGCCCAGATGAATTGCAGCACATAGGTTGCACCATACACAGATACCACCACAAATGTTGCACACCGAGAGTGCCATAGCCCACTGCTTGGGGTCCACACTGGCGAGCATGCAGACACACCCAAACGTTCAGTACTGCATTCGTGGTTCCTTCTGCCCAATAGCGGCCTTGCCCTTGGATGCCCCGCCGAGCTGGCTGTTCCCTGCCCGGATGGTCCTCGAAGTGCCAGACTGCATCGCTGCAGTTGGCGAGCACCAGGGCTGGTTGAAGAGCAGAAGGGGGGAAAAATGGTCTAAGGTGGGAGGGGGGAACAGGAGGGGGAGACGCCTACGCGGCTTGAGCATGAATGAGCAGTAGAGGAAAGGTGCGGGTATGTTGAAGCAGGGAAGCAGGACAAGCGTGCCCTAGAATGGGGGCACGCCACCTGTAGGATGCACTGGTCCCCGTGTCGACGCGCACACACTGTGGGATGTACACTGGGCCGCCTGCCCCCGAATCTTCGGATCAATGGCTCTCGCTTTCCCAGTTTCCTCGTGCCTCCTGTTGCCTGGTGGATCACTCCAACTGAACTGTCGAATCGAACTCCCCTGAGGGAAATCCCTGAGGTGTACCACGCGACTTCCATAACTACTGACATTTGAGTGTGGGGCGCGCCCCGCAAACACGACGACCCTTACGAGATGCATATCGCCAACCGCAGATCCACACGAGAGGGGGGGTGCGCGAGTCGCGGGTGGCAAAGAGATCTCGGGTGGGTCGCAGGACGGATGGCGGATGGGTCGCGGGGCGGGTCGCAAGTGAGTCTGAGGGGAGAGGGTTCGGCGGAGGGTCGCGTTGGCGGCGGCACGCGATGATGTTCCCCAAAGCCATTGTAACACAGCCAGCCGCAAACGCAGAGGGTGTTCTCAAAGCAATGTGGGTGGATCGCGAGGCTGGCCGTTGGACGGTCGTGTGGACGGCGGCGGGCGGTGGCATACGGCGGGTGCACTTTTTCAGGAATGTGCCCAGGAGGCTCCAGATCCAAGAGGGTTCCTTGTATGATGAAGGCGGCGGTGATATCCACGGGCAAACCTCACGCGGTGTTCCACAGGCTTCCAGACCCTGGACTCCTTGCCCAAGGATTCCTTGTCCAATGCCCTCGCCGTAGTGCATCCCGGGAGGCCAACGGCAAACAGCCCGCTGCGAGCGCGGAGGTCGCAGGTGCGTCGCGGGGCAAACCGCGCATGGCCTGCGCGGCGGGGCGCGGGGCGCGCCCCGGGGGGAGGGTCGCAGAGCTGGCCGCGACATGGCCGTGAGTCGGATTGCGGGCGTGTCGCACGCGGGTGGGCCGCTGGCGCATCGCGGGCGGGCTGGCGGGGAGGGCCGCGGGGAGGTCCGCGGGTCGGGTGGCGGGTGGGTCGCGGGAGGATCGCCGGCGGGGGCCGGCTCGGAGCAGGAGAGGAGGCGCCGCCCTGCGTGCGCCTCGTCGCGCGCGCCCGGGGACAGCGAAGGACGCTGCGGGCCCTTCCAGTCCAGGTAGGATTTCGGGGGCGCGCAGGCATGGATTAGCGATCCGTGGATCTGGCGCGCGGTCGCCAAATCCATGGATCGGGGGAGGCACCCTCCCCAAAATGCGACCGGTGGCGCCTCGTTCGGCGGCGGCAATCAGCGACTTCCGATGGAAACGGGACCCATCACTAATCCACGCCCCCTTGATCCATGTTTGCGATCGCCTGAGAATCGGGAAAGCATGCGTGCATCGCTTATCGCCCCCGCCACACGACAACCACACGCCAGAACATCCGTGTCGCAATTGCAGCAGCACCCCGATGACGAAGCGCAGTGGCTTCGAGCTGCGCGTCCTCTGAGTCGCACGCCTGCGCGCCTTGCGCCCCGCCAAAGCGGCAGCCATGTGCTTGATCTCGCGCCGCCCGCTGGGGAAGGGAGGAGGAGGAGGAGGAGGAGGAGGAGGAGGAGGAGGAGGAGGAGGAGGAGGAGGAGGAGGAGGAGGAGGAGGAGGAGGAGGAGAGGAGAGAGGAGGAGGAGGAGGGGGAGGAGGAGGAGGACGAAGAGAGGAGGAGAGGGGACGATGACAAGGACGACGACGACAAGGACGACAAGGACGACAAGGACGACAAGGACGACGACGAGGACGACAAGGACGACGACGAAGAGGACAGAGGACGACGAAACAACTTTTTGCACTTTCTGCCGCTCCTGGGGCGCCCTCGTGGCCACGGCTGGACACGGCTGGAAGAACTGGCCAGGTTGGACCCTGGGAAAGCCTGGGGACCGTTTTCGAATCGATTCCGCCAGGATGAGGAAGAGTTGGGGGATAATGAGAACGAGGAGGAGGATGAGTCGATGAGGAGGAGGAGGAGGAAGTGGAGGAGGAGGACGAAAAAGAAGAAAGCTGGGCCCCTGTCTGTCTCGATCCGCTCATCGGCCTGTCTCTCCGTCTCTCCCTCCCGACCTCAATCGTTCATCCAACGCTTCTCTCCCTTCTTTCTCTGTCCGTCTCCCCCCCGCAGGCACGGAACATCTTGAGGGGCTACTCTTTCCAAGCGCTTGTTGTCGCGGAGATCTCAGTCCTATCCAGTAGCTCGCCACTGCTTTACAGCCCGCCGCAGCCCAACATGCCATCACATTGGGGCGGGTGGTAAGGGACGTCGTGCGGCGTGTGCTTGCCATCGCTCGGACGTCCATTACCTATGCATTTTTTGGTCTCGTGCGTCCTAATTTGCCAGACGATCTAGGATACTTCTCGATGGTCCTCGCTGGGGAAGACAGATGCAAACGTCCGAGCGATGCCAAGCGTAGGGGGGGGGGGTGGGGAGGGGCAGGTCGCCTGCGGGCCGCGCGGCGGCTGAGAGCAAGGTCGCGAGGCGGGTTGCGAGGCGTTGATTACAAGAGCAACAATGCAGTCAACCCGTGCCATAAGGATGGCCAGCGAAAGTCGCCAAGGATGGGCCGAAGGGGCAATGATGCAAGGGTGCCATTGGGAGGGTTGCCCATCCTTACTATGCGGGCTGGCTGCAGTGGGGATCCACGCCACGT